ACCAGGACCCACCTGGCACCCTCACGTGCCCCGTGCTGGACTGGGCACTGCTGTGGGAGCTGGGTTTGCCTTGCAGACACCGGCTCCAACCCAGAGACACTGATCCTGGCAGCATGCCGACCACCACCTGGACCCCCTCCAGGTGCTGACCCAGAGCTCTGCTGCGTTTCCCTTGCAGGGCCGGGGCCCTCTCCAGCTCTCGGGGGCAGCACCCTAGCAGCCTGGAGAGAGGGAGGGCCCATGTGCCCCGAGGCTGCCCATGGAGGCTAACGCACGCAACAAGTGGCCCCAGGAAGGCACAGCCATGGCCCCCAGCACGGCCAGGACCAGGAAGGGCTGCTGTCAGCAGTCAAGGGCTACGCATTAGCAAGTGAGGACGGATCAAACACCCAGGGCTCACACAGATAAGTATAATAACAGCACTGAAATGTTTCTGTGTGCTCATCCTCTGAAGATATGTCAGTGTTGACCTGCAGCCCAGTGGATATGGTCAAAACCACTCGGGAAGTACAAATGCATCCAAGGGATGTCTCTGATAAGACACCAGGAAGGCGTAACCCCGCAGCTGTCCAGCCACAGGGAGAGCGTGGAGCCATGCTGCAGCCCCGTGGACATGGGTGCCCCAAGTCAGTGGGCAAGGACACCCCTCCCCGCAGCAAGGAGAGGCGGCAGCCAGCAGCTGCTCTCCATTCTGCAGGTCCCACAACACATTCAGAGGGGCAAGCACAGTGACACAGCAGCCAGCACAGTCACCCGGGCTGTGCTCAGGCCAGCAAAGCCACAGAGAGCTGCATGGCCGTGACATCCCCGCCACCAAAGCCTGCAGGCCTGGGCTCACTCCGCCACCTCTTGGGATGCATGGCCACAGCCAGCCTTTGCCATGGGGCAGGGGTTTCCTTCTCCATGTGCTGCCTGCCCACTCCAGTGCCACCACAACATACCCCAGCACTACTGGGGCAGCGGTTGCTTGAAAGCATAAGGGTTGCTGCAGAGTGCCCCGCAGGACATGCCCCCACCTCATGCCCCCCGGGCCAGGGGAGAGGCTGGAACCCCTCTGGGGTAGCTCTACCCCAGCAGGCACCAGCCCAGCTGGGGCTCACCTGCGCCACAGCTTAGGGGGAGCTCTACAGAGATGGGGGGAGGCGACTGCTCCTGCTGCAAGGGATCCCATTGTTATGGAAATTACACATGCTAGTGCTAAGTTTTGACTAACTTTTTCTACAACACCTTGGAACCGGTCCCCGGCTGCTGCCCCCAGTGCCCCTCTGCTCTGCACCCCACCCTGGCTCAGCTCCCCACTGACGCTGCAGGCAGAGCACAACTACGGCTGCACAGCGCATGGGGCCCTGCGACTCCACGCCCCAGCTCCTGGGTGCCTCACTTCCAGCAGTGTCCTCCCAGGGGACAGCGCTGTCCCCTCTGTGCCGGAGCAGATCCCACCATCCCCAGCATGGCCTTTGGGAGGGTGGGAGGACCGCATCACAGGGGCTGGAGACACCTCCAGCTGGCAGTCGCAGCCCAGGCAGGTACCTCCTGTGGCCATTTTGCTCACTGGAAGCCTCAAGTGTCCCCCTGTCCCTGAAAGGTGGGGCTGCTCAAGGTCAGCGGAGGCACCCGTCCAGGCCACACTGGCCCTGCACACACTAGATCTCATACCAGCTTCCAACCCAGAGGCAACAGCCCTGTTGTTCAGGTTCCCCGTGCAGAGCCCAGGAGACCATGACAAATGCCGGGTGGCACAGGCAGCACTCACGCCTGCCCAGCATCAGCGCAGAGTCCTGTCCTGGCAGGGCTCTCTGTGGGGTCACCAGCTCCTGCCCAGACCCAGGGCTGCAAACGAGCTGTCCTCTGGCACTGAAAACAAGGTCTTCCCCTGCCCAAGGAGCCATCACAGCACCTGAGGGCAAAGTGCAGGGGGAGGCACAGGGCCAAACACACCTCAGGTGCTCGCTCCTCCGGCCCTTGTGCGACCGCAGCTGCCTGTGGATCACCAGGTCCCTTCACAGTCCTTCCCGCAGTTCACGACTGCCATCCATGTCCCTGACACACCACCTTACGCTTCTGAGAGGACCAGGGAGATCTCCCAGAGAGGGATCTCAGCAAAAGGACAGGCAAGGGGTCTGCACGGCAGCAGGCATGGAGGAGCAGGCTGCCCGGAATATGCAGGGCCAGAGCCAAAGGGACCAT